GTCAATTAAATCAAAAGCACAATGAAGAATCTGTCAGTGACTAGAGAAGACAACAATGTAGATCGGAAGATGACATAAAAAAAAGTGGTAGGAACGACTGGGATGAGAAAAACGCTGAAGAGAACATTATGAAGAACCATTGGGGAGGCCCATGCTGTACAGCAAGACGATCAAGAAACCGGTGTCGAATAATAAAACTAGATAATAAGTGTTTACTTACATATTGAAACTTTTAAATACCTACATAATATATCGCGCTAGTGACCAAGTTATTAAAATAAATAAAAATTAACTTCAATTTCATTGTTAGGAAAGGCTATCTTAATCTTAATTAAAGTACATTACTTAGATATTTGGTTACTTCAATTTTGTTGAAATTTATTAACGAAGGCAGTTTTGTTCGACTAACATTACAGTTCAGATGAATTCAGCCTGGCCTAAAGGGTAAGATGTCTAGCGATGCAACTGTGTGGGTTTGTTCTAATCCCACAAACAGGTACCAAGTTTTTATGTGATAATATTAATTAAGTAATAAGGCACCATGAAACTTCGTATTTACCGCAGCAAATAATAATAAGCTACCAGTAATGTCCTCAAATATTCTACTCAAGCTCATTCGAGAGGATTTTGCCGCTAATTGTAATGAAGGAAAAATGATTCAAAAATGGACGGAAAAACGTTCCAAATAGAAGTACCAAATTACAAATATATGTATAGTCAACAACGGCTACTACGTGCTACGTACATTTATATTATAGAAGTAAATTAGAACCTGCTTTATACACATGACACACTCACTCCATAACCTGATTGTTGGGAAACATCTCGGTAGAGACCGCAAGTTATTGCATTCAATTTGCAATTCGAAATTATATTATAGGTTAAGCAAATTGCTTGTGTGATGCACGCTCCGCTTTAGGTTAGTAATCACGTGCAGTGATTGGTATTGCTAGGAAGACCCACGCTGGACCGATTAGATTACTATTGAAATCCAATGCGTTTTCATGACGCAAAACTGGGTCGCAGATTCAATTTAATGAAACCGCGTTTAATATTAAACAACCCCGTTACAATCAAACTTTTTAAATTGTATTTTTATAGTTTCTTTATTTTTTGCTACAAATGTACCTATGATTCTTAAAAAAAAGGTTTGAATATTTCATTAATACGGGACCGAGTTTTTGTTTATAAAATAAAGAAGCTGCTAAAGATTTAACGCCGGTCAGAACGCAAACTCGACTAATCATTAACGAATACTTTTTCTCTTTTTTTTTTATTGCATTAACGGATGGACGAGCTCACAGGTCACCTGGGGTTCAGTTGTTACCGGAGCTCATAGACATCTACAAAGTAAATGCCGTCACCTACCTTGAGATATGAGTTCTAAGGTCTCAGTTTTTTCAGTACAACGACTGCCCCACCCTTCAAACCGAAACGCATTATTGCTTCACGGAAGAAATAGGCAGGGTGGTGGTACCTACCCGTGCGGACTCACAAGATGTCTTACTACCAGTAATTATGCAAATTATAATTATGTGGGTTTGTTTTTATTAGACGATGATATTCCTTCACCGTGGAAGTCAATCATGAACAATCGATAGGTACGTTTTTCATTAGATAAATTGGTACCTGCCTGCGTGATTCTAACACTGTTGCATCGCTTGATACGATTACACCGGTTGTCTTATTTTTTAAGCCACGACGCCTTCTCCTAATGTTAGAGCTGAAGGCGACTAATGCAAGAGTCATTGAATCTGATGGATCCGTAAGGACGTGTCTGGGACGTCGACATTTGACATTTGACATGGACATTTTACTCCGCTTACAAATCTTAGGATAAAGTCGGCCGAGAATAAACGCTTTGCGGTCGCGGAAAGATTTTATATGCAGGCGGAATTTCATCAATGCATCCAGGGTGATGCCCAGGTACTTGACTTTCCTGACCCAGGGTATTGATTGGCGGAAGAGGGTGATCAGGGGTATGAGTCTTGATGATGTCTATTAAATTACTCGCCACCAGCAAAACGAGAACTATGTGATCCGAAATATTCTCCATCTTCGGACTCTTTCAATTCCCGTTAGCTAAGAATAGTGTAGTGAGTCCCTTATCACTGCAACGACATCCCCATACATATCTACATTCATCTTAAGGAAATATGCCCTAAGGCTGCATATCTCTCAGTTATTTTAAGTAGATCCTTGGCATTCAACACGACCCCCACATTTCCAAGGTATATACAACCCCATCACAGATGAACGTGGATGATGCTTTCTGTTTGTCGTAAACAATCGTTGGAATTTTCTGTCCAGTGCGTCCAACTCTGATTGTGTCCACCTTAACATGCCAAACAAGTATGTTAACATTGGTATGACATTGGTATGGTATTGGTATATTTTTTTTTATTGCTTCAATATCTTGTTTCCGCCCTATTTATGGCCTTTAAGAACTTTATAAGGCGACCAAAGAACCGATCTCTAAACGATTGCTTCATATCTACGTCTACAATATTAAGTACTTCGAACATACCAAGGAACTTGTAGGTCTCCGATTCACAAAGAGATTTAAGGACGTCAAACAAGCAAGTAATGTCGTTAAGTCTGGTTTTTTGGAAACAAATAATTTGAGGTCATTTATTTATTATTATACGAGTACAATTACTTTGAAGCTAAATATGAATATCTGTCGAAATTCGCAATTTTGTTTTAAAAACACTAATTTAAAATAAATTCCCATAACAAAAAGTTATTAAAAAACAGTCTATTATGTTAATACTTAAACCCTTTGAGAGAAGGAAGGTGGAGGGAGGACGAGGAACCGCCACTAATAAAAGTTACCCACAAAAGTGAAAAACTTCGGAATTGCTTCGCATAAAATGAGTCGATAACAAAACAGCGGCGTGGGAACAGCTCTAAATAGCTTTACTTCAATTCTTATTTACACAAGTTTTAGAATTTTCAGATTATTTAAAAATGAGACGCGTTACAAAGAGTTTTATTGATTCCTCACACGTCTCTGATGGATAGAGATGGGCTATCCGCTACCGTGCGTGTGCAAATTATTTTTTAAAACAGACCAAAAGCGGTCGACCCTGTTGGGATAGTTGAGTTGAATACTGGCAGCAACTGGATGCGTAGAGCCGAATATCGGGTTAAGTGGCGAGCTTTGGGGGAGGCCCATGCCCAGCAGTGGACTACCGCAGGCTGATGATGATGAGGTGAATATTTGTCGACCGTAAAATACGAGATATAAAAATTTAAAGATCCAATGAAATCTTCAGTTCCAGTTTGCGCGATGACTTCATTTTGTGATTTCCAAGCTTCCGCGCCGCTCTACTGGAAAGTATTCACTGGGCGGAGCCCCCACCTAAACACCTAACTGTAGTTGGGTCTCGGAGATGCAGTATTCTTCTGTTTAAATTTTTCGAGAAAACGGCATGACATGAGAACCTTCTCATCGTGGCCGCCGGTAACTACATTCTCGATTTTGCGGACCGAATGGAAAGCAGTCGACGTCGCCCAAAGCACGTCATTTCGGATTCTCCCGATCCACTAACGGTGTTTTTAGGTACCTCAAGCACCGGTCATCGTTCTCGTCAAACCCGTCGCTTGTGATGAAGGGCTCGGTGAGTAAATTAACCCACAGGCACAGCCCATTGAGTTTCTCGTCGGATCTTCTCAGTGAGTCGCGTTTCCGATCCGGTGGTAGATTCTGCGAAGCACGGCTCTCGTTAGGGTTCATGTTAGCAACGTCATCAGGTTTAAGCCCCGTGAGCTCATTTACTAGCTCGAAAAAACTAGAATAACTGCTCGAGGTTACTAGAATCGGTAGGGAAAAAAAACTCTTTAAATTTATCAAACGGTTGGAGCACGTGAAGTCTTTCAAGAACTTCACTGCAGAAATAGGCTAAATTATGGTACCGAAATATGAAAGGTTGCACCGTAACCTACCAGCCAGTATTAAAGATGAAAAACACGGGGATTACTGATTAAGAATGCCACGACTACTACTACCTATACTAGACTGAATGATAGACCAGCATAGTCAACATCTGTAGGTATTGTAGAAGCGTTGGTCTATTGATGCTCAATGCATCTCAATTACTCATGAACTCATGAACGCGACTTTATATTGTAATAATCATCGTGAACTTTACCCTGCCTGACGGCTTCACAAGAATAATCCGTAGTGTTATGGCAACGTAATATTTATAAAATGTCGTTATTTTGTGTTTTTAGCACGTTAAACCTCAAGTGAGTCTAGAGAAACTACGCGAGTAGATATTACGAGTCCCATTCATTGCGTTCTCGTTATAGTGGTATTGCTTGCACCGCAATGAACCTGAGATTTGGAACTCTCGTCTAAAGTTAGGCGGTGGCGTTCACGATACAACGTTTCTTGGCATCGGTAAACGTTTGGCAGCGTCGTTTGTTAACCAACACTGACCGATGTGTACAAGTAATGTACACTTGAAGACATGTCATCTGCCTATGTGCCATCTGTCTATTATACAAGATGCGGAGAGTTATTATCGCCAAGAGGGCAGTGAACGCACTACCGCAATGTAAAAGAGACATCCAATTACTTGGCGAAACCGAATGCAGTTGAATCCACCTGGCTGACTCATCCACCTGGAGGGAATCTGTTAGTGCATAAACATACAATTCGTGGTATGCAAATAAACATTTGTAAAGTTTAATTGTTAGAGCGTATAATCAAGGTACAGTCGACGCATAGTTAACGTATATTCAACGTAAAGTCCAGCCTGGGTAACATTGCCCTTTAAAGTCAATTATTATCCAAAAAGATAGTGAAGCTTTCCGCGGAAATGTAGTTGGCTCCCTTTTCAGAAATCACGTGGCTTGTATATTTATGTTTACGTTTTTAAACCTAGTCATTATTCTAGTACCAATAATAATACGAAGACTAATAGGATAATACTTTAGTGTGTCAATTTTAAAGACGATTAAATATAATAACGGGATGCGGGCATTGTTCGCAGGCAGAAACGGAGGGCGGGGCCACTCAGCCAGCGCCGGCGCAGCTCCCGCTGTGCCCGGCCGGCAAACCGGACATCGAGGCGCAGCCGCTACTCAATGACGGTACGTACCTAAGGAATATTATTTACTCTTCTCTATGGACTGCAGATGAGCTCACGGTCTACCCAGTATCAAACAGTGGAGCTAATCGACATCACGACGATGAATATCTTACCCAATTTGAGACATCGGGCCGAACAAACTCTCGATTGTTTTGGAATAATGAGGTCCCTGCAGCACAAACTAGATTTCGTGATAATTTCTATGCAGTAATAAGTATCTCCTAAAAGTTACATAAGGCACAAAGATTTCATAATTAGCAACAATCGTTGTAAGCTTTCTTACAAAATATCTTAATTGCAAAATATACCAACACGAGAATTATATTTAATAAGCTGTTCGTCAAACAGATTATAACTAAGAGTAGGTATTAGGTGTGGATCGAGTCAACCTTCGTCGATACGGCACGTATTTATAATCCACATAAAATACTTTTCGGATCGAGTTTACACAAGCTAAACTCGTGCAGCGTAAACCCGAGATGGTAAGTCAGGCGATGCTCCGGTTGCTAATTGAAGCGCATAATAACCGACGATGTTAACTTTTAAACTATTACGTGAAGTTGGTAACTACCCACATCTACTCCCGAGCGTTTCATGGAAACGTAATTTGCATGTATTCTGAAATCTTGCAAAATTGCGGACTTGTTCATGAGTTAAAAGCATCGCCGAGCTCCCTTCCTCTAAACTCACGACAAGTGTAGCTTACAGCGGACAATGCGTTGAGTTCATGACGAGGGTTCCTTGTTCACTGTACTTTGTACAGGGCTATCTTGACTTTAAAACAAGGAAATACAAGAAACTAATAATATACTACGCCTTACGTTCAACAAAGAGCGTTTCTTCTTTTATTTGTTCTCTTGATTACTGTTATATAATGTAATTGGGTACCTGCGTGTAGCCCCCGGACCAATGTGTCTACTATTCACTTCAAAGAGCCACATTCCTCGTATTTGATTGAAAGAAGCGCGCAAGTGAGCTTTCGAATCGAATATTCGGACTATACCTTATATCCAAACGTTCCAAGTACCTGCATTAGTTAGACGTGTGCTCAAACCCACATCAAAGCCTTCATCGGGCAGCTTTGATTTCCTGTCGAAGGTTGATTAAAGCGTTGCATCCGACAGACAGGTTATTGATTCTACACAAACGAAATTGGATTCTACTATAGTCGAATTTGTCTTTTTGAAGTTACTTTGAATTTTCGTACAGTGTGCTCAATTTTTCCTGAAAGCGCCCGATTTTTATTTTTGTAATGGCTAACAGAAACAGGTAATTAAAAAAAGCCGTTTTCTTACAAAAGATCCTTTTATAAAAAAGGTCAGAACGGAAGCCTTAAAAAATTATAGAGCCATGAAAGGTTTTCCTTATTTCGTGAAATGAAAGAATGCTAATTAATACATTCTAAGCCAATCGAATAGTGAAGTGAGCTCTTATTAACTCTATTCAAACTTAAACTGTTTTGAGGAATTGTTTGTGAAGAAAAGTTGGAAACTAAGATAAAGTCATTCAAAATGCGACAGAAACATTCATCAAACGATGCACTTTTGACTTTGATGTTTAAATTTTTTTTAAATAGTCAATGTCTGAATATTTGTTTAATTGTAGCAAAATATCATTTGTAATAATTCCTTAAGGGCTTCAAAATTTTTTCATTTTATAATAGCGCAGTCGCTCTTGTTTTCATATATATATTTTTATTGCTTAGATGGGTGGATGAGCTCACAGCCCACCTGGTGTTAAGTGGTTATTGAAGCCCATAGACATGTACAACATAAATGCGCCACCCACCTCGAGATATAAGTTTTAAGGTCTCAAGTATAGTTACAACGGCTGCCCCATCCTTCAAACTGAAACGCATTACTGCTTCGCGGCAGAAATAGGCTGGGCGGTGGTTCCTACCCGCGCGCACTTACAAGAGCTCCTACCACCAGTAATTAATTGCGCAAATTATGATTTTGCGGGTTTGATTTTTATTACACGATGTTATTCCTTCACCGCGGAAGTCAATTGTGAACATTTTTGTTGAGTACGTATTTTATTGAAAAATTGATATCCACCTGGGATTCGAACACCGGTGCCACCACACCATAAATCTTCATAATTGACTTTCACGGCTTAACACCAGGTGGGCCGTGAGCTGGTATAGCCTTCGATGCAATAAATAAATAGAAACTTATGTAATAGAAAAAACTGAGAAACAGCTCTTAATTATTAAATATAAATGAAGTTTATAGATCAACGAAAATAGTCTACAGTCTGAATACTTGTAATAAAAAAAATCTACTGCTTTCCGAACGTTTATTCTTGATTAATGCTACTAAAATTCACTGGATTAACTTTTTTCATTAAAATTATAAAAATCATGAGCGAGCGAACCTTCATCGACATTTACAAATTTGAGAAATCCCGACGGAAAAGCAAAAGAGAATAGTGAAAGGCTTGAAACAAGCGTGTGAAGTTGTCGCTGCGACTTCGAATTACTCCGGTATTTTCTTGTTTGTCGGCCCGTGGCGCGAATCTAATTTGTCCTTAATACTCAAAGCATGTATCTGCTCTGGAACAAAAAACGGGTAACGAGTTTCAAGAAAAGTCGGAAAAAATGAGGTTTTTATCCGTATTCCGAATATGAAGAACGTAACGACGGTTCAAGAACAACGGAATAGCAATGATACAGGTTTTTAATTTGCCAAACAATACGGCCCGCGGCCAAACAAAATGTATTCCTATGTGTTTCCTTCAGAAATTACGTTTCAGACATAAAAAACACAATTTACTACGTAGTTAAATATTATGCTAGCCTATTGCTTCCACAGCTATCGACTTGAGGTCAGATTTTTAAAATGTTCACTCCCAATACAATTTGTGTTATTCATTCATGCTCTCGTAAATTATTGCTATGGAACGAGTAAGAAATATACGTAGCGAAGTTTTGAATGAAATAAAAATGAATCTCCGCCGCACTAGTCATACTTGTACTAGAATTTTAGATTTTCCTTTACGTATTGCGCTACGTGCGGCACACGGACTGGTCGTTACAGGACCATTGGAACGTTTTTCAGTTTGTCTTTCGCCCGCATTTAGCTGGAGTACTTGAAGTAAGTTTTTAATTTGAAACGAGAAACACAAATTATTTTTATTCAATTTTATTCTTCACTATTTTTGAACTTAAGGGCACAGTGTGAAGTATTCATTTTTGTTTAGAACTTCCCAATTCTTCAACTATGTCGAATAGATTTCTCCTACACGTTAAAAAAGCTCACACCTATAAGAAAGCATGCCCCCCTAAGAGACACAACGCTGTGTATATCATTCGCGCGAACCAAAAGAAACGAGAGAAATTTAATGGACGGTATTTGAATTGCTAATTGAAGTCGCGCCTTAGAACGTCTATCTCGCACTCTGAATTGACGGGGATCCGTGACGACACGGATGTCGCGGAACTACACCATTTACACAATATTTTGTACTCTCCTAACTTGAATAATATAATATTTGACTGAACACCTTGACTCCTCATTTTAGGCGTAACATACCTTACTATTTTTAAATTTAGTTATCACCAGATAATATAGAAAATTAATTAGAGCTACATAGTCATGATACCCGGAGTAAACTCAGCTGATAAACTATATTTAAAATTATATTTTGAGACGTGTGAGAGAGCTGTCGTTCCACCTGACGTAAGCCTGCTAATCTAAGTAGATAATATTCTACTTTAACTATAAACGAGATGATTATAAATTAAAAACTCGAATCCGCAGAAGCAGGCAATAGAAACTACCAACGGGTTTATGGTTTCGCTTGTAGTCGTACTGATTGCTGACACAATAGGCGATACATCGATACTCTGATGAATACATTTAGATTTACATTTTAAATGTAAAATTAATCATTAGACGTGTTATTTGGGCTCGATTTATGTTTAGTTATTGTACTGGTGTAGCAGAGGGTCGTTGTAGCGGGTGCTGTCCGGCTCGAGATTGTGTTTACCCGCTCGACGGCGCGCTGCCGAGCGTCCTATCAGCACTCCACTATTTACTGTCACAATTTAATTCCTTGTACTCTGCTGGGAAATTACTTGGTAATAGCTGCTTAAGTGCATCTAGCGGATTTCTAGTTGATAATAGTTATTTATCACTAGTAAAATTACCGGACAATGGTTGCAATGTATAGTCGGTGGACCATCTCTACACGACGAGTGACTGATGTCAGTGCAGCACAATAATTGGCAGCCCAAGCATCGTTATCGTTGGACAATTTCGTTTTATTCGATTTTTTCCTACAAGAGAGCTCACTGCTACATACTGCTATTAGACACTGATTACAATTGTGCGTCACTCGTATGAATTAACCCCAAAAAACTCACAACTCAGTGAAAATTAGCAAGCTAGTGTAAGCATACAGTCGTAGATGCAGCTTAGTTAACATAAACAAATTAGAGTAGTTAGAATAGCTTCTAATCTAAACTTCAATGTTCGTGTATTGACAACAAAGACGTCAAAGTATATCCAATCTATTAATGACTGAGCCGAGAAAAAGTGATACAGAACCCGACACGCGTCGAGTCGCGGCGGCGCTCATACCGATGAGCCCACCATACGTCCGCTACCAAACAATTTGACAGGAGGAGAAGCTATTGGATGAATAGCTGGATCGACTGCAGCTAGTTAGATCAGTGTAGGACCCTTGAACAAGATTATGTGGGTGTAAAGTCTTACTGAAACATTAATACCAAAACAATCTACGAATCATGAAATCCTGACATTGCCGCTGTCCATGAGCTACGGCAACTAAGGACAAATATTGGGCTGTCAAACCCAACTTTTAAGAAAATATTAATCCCAGTAAGAGTTTACTTTAATGATTTTCTGTAACTGAAAAAAAGACATTTAATACAGAGTTATGTAAGTTAAACATAAAAAAAAGTAAAAGAAACGTAAAGTATGAACTTAAAATAATAGAATTTGTTTGCAAAGTATGAGATTAGTTCATAACTGTTGT